ATAAACTTTGTTTGACATGAAAGAACGACTTGTTATTAAGTTTCACCAAAATAAAATGTTTCCAAACGAATAAAACTCGTGGATACAAAGACAAATCGGCGGTTTTAGAACACCCTGTACAGATGCAATAAATAAATAAATAGGCATCGAGAAAGAACACTGGCATACGTCGACTCGCTCGAGTGGAGAGCTCGGCCGCAACGCAACGTGGCGCATCCCGTAGAACGTCTCGGGAGATGTTTCTCTCCAAATTTGTGACTTCCAAAAGCGAGGCAAGATCGCAAGAAACGCGCGGCGAGCTCAAATGCCGATTCTCCGATTCGAGGGGGGCACTCTGAAACGCAAAGATCGGCGCCACGGCGCCGAGTAATTAAAGAAAATAAAAAAAAAATAACTATATTTATTCGAACGACTTGCCAAGTTTTGTTGCATAGCGTACGCGAGATAAACGGCAGAAAAAAAACTTTACAAAAAAAACTAAGAGGTAATAAGATGGTTATGCGAATGATGATCTGGCGGATTTAACGGATATAAGTTACGGATATAGCTGTGTGAGCAGTTTCACGAAATATTGATGTATATATCTTAAGTTTGTATTATAACTCTCCCACACTTAATTTGTATGAAATGAAGAATTTCGAACATTAAAATCATGAACGAAAAGTCTCGCCTCCGATTCACTTGCCGCATCAATTCCATCCCCTTTTTCCATTTTATTATAAATAAAAATTATAAATAAAAATAGGATACTGCAGGCATCTATATAGTAAGACTAAAAAATATAATTAATAATCTAATTAATAATGCGATTAATATTCTGTAGTACAGAGGTAAAAGTTAAATATAATACAGCGTGATAAGAGTCTTGAAGATCTAAGTCATCGGTATTTTCATACAATGATAACGTATCGGGTGAAATGTGTGCTTATTGTGACGGAATACAAGCAGAGAATGCGTGCGCAATTCACATGTACACATAGACACACATACACATATTAACGTCCGCGCGCATGCACCCACCGGTCAGTGGACATGACAGGTGTTTGCCTGCACCTCATTGTCGTAGATTATGTTTAACTGAGAAAGCATGCCAATGATGGTTTAAACAAGAATGAGCAATCAATTGATCGTTATTTCTTCGTCAGAATTATTTTTCGAGCAGTTCTGCGGATAACAGAAACTATGAATGCACGAGAAGCAGAGGTGAGTTTGTCAGAATTTTTGCAATCTTGTTTATTAATATAGCATTAACTATTCCGAGAGAAATCGTGTGTTTTTACAATGTTGTCTTTTACATTTAATTGAACTGCACGGGAAAAAAGCTCTTAACCTCCAAACGCCAAGAGGTCTAATTCCATGCATAGATGCAGAGTAATTATGCAGAAGCATTTCTCTTCATTTAGGTGGACAATCTTAAGCAGCAAGGAAATGCGTGCGTTAAGGAGCAGAAATATGAGGAGGCAATGTTTCATTATACACACGCCATCAAGCTGGATCCACAGAATTATTCTCTCTACAGTAACAGATCCTTTGCCTTTCTAATGATGAGACAGTATCATTACGCCATGGAAGATGCCCTGATGACTATTCAGTTGAAGCCTGATTGGTCTAAGGTGCGGAACAATATTGTCTAATAACTCACATAAGAATAACAAATGAATTTTAATATGTGAAACATAAGCGCCTTATATTAATTATTTGTCTGTTTCAGGGCTACTTTAGGAAAGGTGAGATTGAACTAAGGACATTTCGCTTCAGTGAAGCCCTTCAATCTTACAACAAAGCCCTTGCCTTGCAGCCAAATGAGCCCAAGATTTTAGAAGCAATGAATAGAGCATCTAGATCATTGATTAAAGATAAAAGAGGTACTTTACATAATGTTATTTTAGAGCTCTTAAGATTGGAATATAATAAACTATTGTTTTACAGCTGACCAACAGATTCCGTGGCTTGGAGCTGGTGTTGGCATTATATTAGGAGTTATAGTTGTGATTGCTGATTATGTTTTTACAAACAAGCCCACATTAACGGTATTGATTCGTATTTTATACTTTGAAATTATTACCAAAAGGGTAATAATCAAAATTAGATTATCTTCACGGCATCCTGCAGTGCACACCAAATAATACTTCTATATTATGTTGCAGAATCCTCTACTGATGACGTTACTAACAATGTCTATAGCCATGCTAGGTTTTAGCATCGCGAAAGGCTTTCGTTATTTCGTAAAGTGCCAAAGAAAATCACTGCTGGAGCCGCCCGTCGATCTCTTCCCGGAGGAAAAAGAAGACCCTGAGAGTTTCGACGTGGAGAAAAATAGTGAGAAGGAAAAGCATCCAAAGTATAGTAAAGCTCAAGCGAGACAACGATTTCGCAAAGGAAAATCGTAGGGATGCGTTTTGATTGTTTATTTCGATGCATATATTCAAGAATGCGTTAAGAGGATACAGTAACGTCTTAACGCAGAGTATATAAAAATAACATTTGACTATGATCAGGTCATTGTTTACCGTCAAACGGTATACTATCGTTATTAAGAAAAATTCGGTACTTAGCATTTAGTGTTATATTTTCTTATTTTTTGAAAAACATTTGTAAGATACTTATATTTTACTGTGTGAAGACTGGATTAATTTATTATTAAATCTATTATTTGATAAGATTTGCGTATCTGTTCGCAGTATGTGAACGATTTTGATAATTCAATTCGTACAAATTGCAGAAGAAAATTCTGATGAAACATATAATAGCTAATAATTAATAATTGCATATATAGCCAGTACATTTCATTGTCGTGTGGATTATGAACAAAGTATGAGTGTCTTTTCTAAGATTATTCAAAACTAGTAAGAATGTCGTATTTGATATTCTCATCCTCTTTGACAAATCATTTAGAAATCGAGTAAGAAACATTTTATCTCTGAAATTTGCACTCGTCCTTGTGATTCTTATACAACGAATAACGAAGTATAAGCGTGTCAATTTAGCATTAAGATAATGTTGCACTTTTCTCTACCTTTTGCACTATATATCAAGCGAGCGCATAGCGCATCTTCATAGAGTCTCTTCACTCTCCCTCTCTCTCTCTCTCTGATTGAAATTATATCTATCTAAATATATCTAACTCTTCGGCTGCAAAAAGATCATCTCGTTGCACGAAGAGACTGATTGATTCTACTTATAATTCATTAGTTCATAGTTTATCTCTCGTCCACGATTCGAATGTACCGACTATTACTCGCCACATATGCATCTTGCAAACTCTGAACCATGATTTATGACACAAGTTACCCAATAAAGATGAAACTGCAAGGCTGTTTTGTTAAAAAATACTACGACCTGTCTCCCAAAACATCCATTAAAAACTTGTTGCTTTATGTCCCATTTGTGTGCAACTGAGCTATACAATAGACAGTAATAAATAATGAAAATATGCATACATATGTAGTTACAATTTTGCATTGCACATTTGAATGTACATTTAAATTATGAAGCAAATAAAAAAACGTTATTATCTTTTTGCTGGCGACAGTACACTCGTAAACAAAGGCATTTCTTTTATAACAAAAATAGTTGACCGATTATAACTGCATTAGGAAACAAAGGTGAGGAGGAAATTTTTTTTATCAACAATGTGGTGTAATCAATCAAATTGCTAATTTGTTTTTTTCGTTGTATTATATTCTCGTTGCCCAGACACTTTACTAGTCCAATTATATTGGTTATATCTTATGGTTGATGATTTGGAGTAATGATTTTAATTTGCAGGTCATTTATCTCGAAATTTCGAAACTTCACGCGTATCTTATATGTGCATGGATTTTACGACTTTATTATAGATTCGATGACTTTATTATAAGCGATGATGCGAATCAGTCAATAGTAATGCAATCAACAGAAATAGAAACGTATGCATTGTTTGCATTGTTTGCGTTTTAGTTCTAATATTAAGTTGTAACTGAACGTTTATAATAACGTATGCGATATCGGAAATCGCGCAAATTAAAATTCATATAACAGCAGTGAGTAGAGTTTCGACGCGTATCATCGAATTTCTATTCTCACGAATGGAGATCGTTTCATCGTGTTTATGGAGATCCTTTCAACATTTGCAACGAAATTCGAACTCGTTGGAGAATCACACCGAATTTCATCCCGGAGGAAAAAAATAGAGAGAGCCGAGCGGAAAATTGTAATTTTACAGCGTATCGCGTTTTCTTCGTTCTCTGCTCCGAAATTGTTGACGTCAACGCAGTTGAGTATCCTGCCAACGCTTTTTCGACGCTTATATTTTACGCACGCGACACGACAAATAGTACTTGCATATGCGACTACGACGAGGGGTTACATCACGCAAAATAAAACGCCACAATGGCAAATATTAGCTACGTGGCCGCGAATGTGGCCATTATATAAAAGCAGCAACACGCGCTTTGTAACACACGCTCCCGTTACATTGTGCGTCGTTGGCGAAAAATGGCGACAAGGTTTCGGTTTCGAGGCGAGTTCGTGTACGGACGCGTTTCGCGAATGAGTACCTTAAAAAAGACGGGAAATCTCGTTGAGCGAAATTACGAGGGGTTAGGTGTCGACGGAAGAACGGCTTCGAGGCTATCGTATACATCGTAGCTCGTTTTCGTTGCGAAAACCAGAACTTCAACGAAATCGAAGGTCGTCGAGGGGACTCGTAGTTAAAGAACGATACTCGTGCTCCCGTTAGGAAGCAGTCGGGGCGCGTCGCGACGCAGAAGCTCGCTGAAGATGCTCGGAACCAAGAAACGAGAGAAGCGTGGCCGGGTCGCCCAATGCGATTGGCGAGGTAGCTAGCTTGCTGGTCACGGCACATCGAATCTGCGCATGCGTGCACGCATGTGCAATTTCACGCGATACATTCCCGACTCTATTAAATTGGTGAAACGAGGTTTTTTGCACCCCTTATTTTAATTTTTGTCCTCTTGTCTATATTAATGTAATATATCATATATATATATATATATATATATTGTCTCTATACTATATATTATATATTATTTATACTAATGCAATATGTATTTTAAAAAACAAACTATAATGATTCTTTTTACGAGTTAATCTTTTTCCATTGTAATATAATTTTTAATAATATAAAACAGCACTTTAAAAAAGAGCTTATTTAAAAAACCATATTGTGGCATTTCATAAGAGATTAAAAAATTACTAACACAAGATGAAATAATGTTGGAATAAAATTTGCTTGTTTACAGTGAAAGTTTTTGCTGCTATTATAGAGGCATTTTATTAAATCACGTTACCAGATATTTAACCTGCAAATCCTATATACTTCCCACCAGAATTTTCCACACGAAGAAATCTTGGAAAGTTTAATTCCGTATTATCGTGCACGCTAGTCTTCTTTACGCATACGTGAAGCTTACGATTTTGTAATAACAATCTGTTCTAAACTATGTTGTAACTATTTTCCCGTCTCTTCATTATTAAATTCGTAGTCCTGACTGTCGAAACCGCGAAAGTTTCCGCGTGCCTCATTACAACGTTCCTACATACTTATTAATAACGCGTGGCAAACGAAGGACGAAGTTCACGACTCGCTGTACACTCCGCAGTGAGTTAATTGCACAAAGCTTACCCGCGCTACAGCGCAAAGAGGCAAAATGTAATTCACCATGAAGATGCTTTCCGTTATCCGCTCCATTGTCCGCCCGATGATTAACCGGTAAAAAATTCCTAGGGCGAAAAAGTGGCGAAAGATCCGAAGCGGAGGACCTAAGGGAAAGATTAACTTTTTAGCACCTTATATTCGCCATTTCGTCCGTCTCGCAGCATAATCAGCTCATTAAAATCATCGTGTGAAGTATATT